CTCCACCCAAGGGCAGGTCACATCTGTGGTTCTGCTCCTTCATCCGGCCATTAACTGGATCATCCAAATTTGACCAGATGAAGAGCGGCCGCATAACTGCGTTTCCGAGAAATCACCTCCAGCGCTCCGCGTTGATGTGAGCGCGTGTGTTTCAGCCTGGCTTTGTGCCAGCTGCAGAGGGACCCAACATCACGTAAGAGTGGTTCAACCAGACCAAGTCTCCAGCCATGTCGGACCAGGTTTACACCAGGTCAGCACTTTGCTTTACGTGGCTGCAGCTTTTCTGAGCCCTAATGATGGATTTACAGCATCGGCAAAGCCCCACCAAGGGGAAATTCATCCTCACTTTAAGCTCCAATCTCTGTTTCAGCCTTCAGACTGCTTCCCACCCTGCATCTGCCAGCCCTAGAGCTGAACAAGCGCTGGGTGAAAGGGGACACGGCTGAGCTGGTGCTCAGCATCCTTCTGTCATGCTCTTTTTTGTTATTTTTAAATTTTATTTTTGCATCAAATGAAGGCTAAAATCAGCTCAGCAGGAGGCGAGGACTGGAATGTTTTAGCTCATGCTGCCGTGGTATTGAAAAGCCACAGTTTTGCTGCTTATTTCCCAACTTTCTTACTGCAAACAGCATTGCCTGATCTTTTATTTTGATGGATAAAAGCAAGTAAGGACCTCATAAAATAAAGCCCTCTGCGAGGTGTTTCAGCTCATTCTCCAGACGAGCACTGTAACGTTTGACCTGGAAGGCCACGTCCAGCTGAAGGTCCAGACAACTCAACATGTCTCCAGGCACGGCCAGGGGTATTCACATAGGACAAGGTGTAAAATGGGGTAAGTGGTGGATACCCCAGGCCCAGCAGACCCTCGCTGCACCTTGCAAGTGATACAACAGCCCACCAGCACTGCAGCCATCCTGGGGTCACCTCCACATCCAGGCTCTGGGCTTTGCTGGATCATTTTTCCTCTTCGCATTATCGTAAAATCACAGAATGGTTTAGGTTGGAAGGAACCTTTAAAGATCATCTTGTCCAACCTCCCTGCAGTGAGCAGGGGTACTAGATCAGGTTGCTCAGAGCCCAGTCCAACCTGACCTTGAATGTCTCCAGGGATGGGGCATCTACCACTGCTCTGGGCAACCTGTTCCAGTGTTTCACAACCCTCATTGTAAAAAAATTCTTCTATCTGGTCTGAATCCCTTCTCTTTTAGTTTAAAACCATTGCCTCTTGACCTAGCACTACAGGTCCTACTAAAATGTCTGTTCCCATCTCCTAAGACCTGTGTAAGTACTGGAACGCTGCTAGAAGGTCTCTCTGGAGCCTTCTCTTCTCTGGGTGGAACAGCCCCAAATCTCTCAGCCTTTCCTCGTAAGAGAGGTGCTAAAGCCCTCTGATGTTTTTTGTGGCCCTTAGTGTATTTTGGAAAGCTGCTATGAGGAGTTTTCATTTAGGGGTACAGTATTTCCATCCTCTGCTTTCAGGTCTTGGGAGGAGCTACGGTTTGTAGCCTCTGTGTCTCACAAGTGGGTGTCCTGAGAAACAGTGAGGTTAAATGATTTGGTCACATTTCATGGATTGATCAGTGGGAACAAGAACCCAAATCTCCAGCCTTCAGGGCTTCAATCACCATGAGATGGTACGTACCTCATGGAACAAGGTGGAAACGTCTGCAAAATGTCTCTGAAACAGTGTCCTCTGGTGTGCCCAAGTAGCTCACTGCAACTTTGGTATCACACATTAAAGACAAAACTGTCATCTCATCTCTGCTGGGTAAAGACCCATGCCTATGTGCCAGCACAACAGGGAAACTTGGGGTGAGGGAGAAGTACGAGTGAGACAAATATTCCCTATCCTTTGGTTACGCCAGAGCAAAATCCAGCTTCTCAGTCAGCTGATCGTAACCCCAGTGTGGCCATCGACCTGGCAGCCCCTAGACTTGGAGGAAGTCTACTCTGCTCTCCTCAGACCCCACCTGCAGTGCTGTGTTCAGCTCTGGGGCCCCCAACATCAGAAGGACATGGAGCTGTTGGAGCACATCCAGAGGAGGCCAAGAAGGCCTGATAATCTGAGGGCTGGAGCACCTCTGCTATGGAGACAGGCTGAGAGAGTTGGGGCTTTTCAGCCTGGAGAAGGCTCCGGGGAGACCTTCCAGCAGCCTTCCAGTACCTAAAGGGGCTACAGGAAAGCTGGAGAGGGACTTTTTGCAAGGGCGTGTAGTGATAGGACACGGGGCAACGGCTTTAAACTTAAAGAGGGGAGATTTAGATTAGATCTAAGTAGGAACTTCTTCACTCTGAGGGTGGTGAGGCACTGGAACAGGTTGCCCAGAGAAGCTGTGGCTGCCCCATCCCTGGAAGTGTTCAAGGCCAGGTTGGATGAGGCTTTGAGCAACCTGGTGTACTGGCAGGTGTCCCTGCCCATGGCAGGGGGGTTGGAACAAGGTAATCCTTAAGGTCCCTTTCAACCCGAACCATTCTATGAATCTTTCTAACCCAAGTTCCATAGTGCCTGTGCAGCCCTCCTCCTGCAGACAAACGGGTATGGTTAGTAGGTCAAGAGGGGTTCTCCTCCCCCTCTGCTCTGCCCTGGTGAGGCCGCGTCTGGAATATTGTGTCCAGTTCTGGGCCCCTCAGTTCAAGAAGGACAAGAAACTGCTTGAGAGAGCCCAGCGCAGGGCCACAAAGATGATGAAGGGAGTGGAGCATCTCCCTTATGAGGAAAGGCTGAGGGAGCTGGGTCTCTTTAGCTTGGAGAAGAGGAGGCTGAGGGGGGACCTCATTCATGTTTATAAATATGGAAAGGGTGACTGTCATGAGGATGGAGCCAGGCTCTTCTCAGTGGCATCCAATGATACGACAAGGGGAAATGGATATAAGCTGGAACAGAGGAGGTTCCGCTTAAACATGAGGAAGAACTTCTTCCCAGTAAGGGCAACAGAACACTGGAACAGGCTGCCCAGAGAGGTTGTGGAGTCTCCTTCTCTGGAGGTATTCCAAACCCGCCCGGGCGCCGCTGATCTAGGTGGTCCTGCTCCGGCGGGGGGATTGGACTAGATGATCCTTTGAGGTCCCTTCCAATCCCTGACATTCTGGGATTCTGTGAAAAGCTCAGAGGAGTCACCAGCCAGCTTTGCAATAGCCTCCTGCTTTATCCTTCATCTGCAGGGCCTCTGATAGTGTGTTTCCTGGGTGTCAAGCACATGGGCAGGAGTGCTCTTTCTCGACAGCAAAGGCTGGAAGTCACATTCCTGGGGTCCAGCTGCTTTGGCAGGGAGGGACCTTCCAAGCCCATCTGGGCCTTCTACTTCTCCAAATCCTTCAAGACTCTTGATGGTTTCCACTCAAGGTTCCTCTCCACAAAAGACTGGAGCCAGCTGCAGGACCTTCTCCCTGGCAGAGGTGCATAGAATCACAGAACGGTTTGGGTTGGAAAGAACCTCAAAAGATCATCTAGTTCCAACCCCCCTGCCATGGGCAGGGAAACCCTCCACTCCATCAGGTTGCTCAAAGCCTCATCCCACCTGGCCTTGAACACCTCCAGGTGGGATGTGACACAGTGGAGCAGTGAAGGCCTGAAGGTAGGGTGAGAGGGGCGTAAGGGAAAAAAAAACATTTATTTCCAGAGGCACAGGAGATGAAGGGTGACGGATGGGAAGAAGTCTGGCTACCCACGCCAGAGTGGTCCCACACGGGGCTGGGGAGAGTGTCCCCACCACTGACTCCACGTAGTACCCATGCAGAGCAGCACCTCTCCTGCCTGCCTCATCCCCACTAAAAAAGCCACTCGGCACAGCCTGGGATCAAGTGTACGTTTTTATTTTTTTAATGGAACATAAACTCCTTTAGAAAAAACATTCATCTGGATGATAACACCCATAGAAAAAAACACCAACCTCGTGTTCTTTTTTTTTTTTTTTTTAATTTGGCATTTGTTATTTGCATTTATATTAAAGCAAAGTGCATCTTTCTTATTTTTTTCTCGTTTATACACATTGCACAATACATAAATAATGATGCTTATAAAACGTCTTTATATTTACAAGTAATAATATATTTATATATAACATAAAATACATTTTTTTTTCTTTAATAAATCTCAGGGTTTTTTTAAGGAGTCCTTTTTTTTTTTTGTGTCTTTTATTTTCAAAGCACTACAATGCTAAAGTTCCAATGAGAATGCTCTCTTGTTCATTTAAACCTTTATATTTAGAAAAATAGCTTATGTTAAGGTCTAAACATGCTCATTGAGCTAAGAACAGTGTAAAAGTATCATACTCGTGTATGAATTCAAGAAGAAATGAAATCACAACTGCATTTCCAGATAGGATGGTACTGGGATAACCTGATTTAAGCAGGTTACAACAGACCAACTATCATGAACACTTTTTCTTTTGTTTTCCCCTTTGTTTTTCATTCGTTTTGTTGGTTTGGTTTTGTTTTGTTTTGTTTCAGGCTTAGGCTTCTGTCGCTTCACATCTCAGCTCAAATTGTAAAGCACGGGCCACGCACGAGGTTTCTCTGCTGTTGTTTTCTCCCCTTGCATCAATCCATGACCGTAAAAAAAAAAAAAAACAAACAAAAAAACAAACAAACAAAAAAAAAGCAGTGGAAGGATGAACACAGTGACAAGACGTGAACCCAGCGACAAGGGAAAAAAAAATATTAAATTAAAAGAGTGGGTAAAAAACCGATTGGGAAGGTTTTGCAGCATCCTTCAGCGGCAATGTGGGGTTAGCACCACTGGGGAAGGGAGTCTCGGTGTCACTGTCATCAGCGACGACTCGCAGCAAGGGGTAGGTGGTGCATAAAAAAAATGCAGGTATCTTGTTGTTTTATCCAAGAGAAGGAGCTGTAACATATAGCAAGTGGCTTCCGAATCCATGGATCACATAGGATAATCCTTTCAGAGGCGTGAAATAATTATCGTATGCAATCCAGTACCCCCCCACCCCCCACCCTGCACCCTTCTCTTGCCCTTCTGAGTTATTGGTCATTCACACTTTTAAAAAATAGATATATTTATCAAAATACCCAAGGCAAAAAAAAAAAATCTTTCCATAAGCTATTTCTCAAAAGGCAGGGGTGGGGGTGGAACAAACAAAACAAAACAAAAACAAAAAGTTTGCATGAAAAGCAAGCACTCAGAAGGAAATAATAGCAGCAAAGTAGTATAAATGTCATGAGTCCACTCTTGTCTCGAGTCATCGGTTATTAAAAATAACCTCCAACCAGCATGGGCAACTGCTGATAAACTGTCTCGTGTAGCACTGGCCCCAGCCTTTCACAAAGCTGATCTGAACAGTAAATCCGGTCCATGGCTGCTGCATGAACTCATGGTCGTTGGGTCTCTGCAAGCTGTACGCCTTCTCGTAGTCAAAAGCCTTGATGGAAAAACCTGGAAACACTTTGTGAACCAGCAACGTCCTGGAGTCGGGGTTGTCCAGTGTGGCCGACTTGATGAAGATGGGGTAACTGCTGCGGTTGTACACCCACACGCCGTCCACTTCCTTGGTGAGCTGGATTCCATAGCCGATCTTGCTGCGGACCTTCTGCACCAGTTGGCTTTTGTTGTCGGAGTTGAGCTGTCCGAGGCAGAAACCATTCCCCTGAGGTAGATCATAGAAGATATCCAGGGAGGGCTCTTGGACAGAGTACAGCCGACCCACGCGCGTCTTCTCTTCCCAGTATGCCACCACACACCAGTGTGACCTATCCCCTGGCTCCTGAAGAATTTGAGAATCTACAGAACAGGAGGAAAAAAGGAAGAAAAGGAGAAATTGAGGACCGCGGGGATAACATGACCCAAAACAGATGCAACGCTGGCAGGTCCTTGCCTGCCCATGTCTTCATGACACTCTCCACGCACACACCAATGTCCACAGCGCATCCACCGTTTCCCAAAGCAATGTGCTAAGGCCACTGTTAAGACCATTTAAGTTGACCCAGGTTTGGGTCAACTGTGCTGCTTCACTGCCTAGCTCTGGTTTAGGGATGTAGCAGTTATGGATTCTCCAGGTCGATACAAGAATCACCAGGTCCACCTTCAGAAGTGGCTTGAGACTCACCAGAAGCTCCCATGCTGCAGCCATCCCTCACCCAAACCATCATGAGGACCACCTTCAGTGCCAACAAAAGAGATGAGATGCTCCAGCCAGCATCCAAGACCAAACACCCTAAAATCCTTATTTGCACCCACCAGATGAAGAATCTGTTTCCATAAGTAACTACCCACTATGCACAGACAGCAAAAAAAATTAAAAAAGAGGTGCTGCTACAAAAACCACGTTGAAGGTCACCCTGTGGGACCAGGCGGGACAAGGACTCGCCTGCTCTAGTTCATGGGGCTTTGCCCTGCCTGCAGACAGAGCCTGGGTGATGGAGATGATGGAGACCTGACCGGTGGGGAAGCACCATCAGATGGTGGCAGGGTGGGGACCAAAAATCTCTCTGGACAGAAATGGACTAAAACCAAAAAAAAAAAACCCAGAAAATCCCCAAAAAGTCATATTTGCAGAGCCCTTCTTTCGCCCCCCTCGTCCACAGCTCACCCCCTGCGAGGAACGAGGACACAACCGAGGAGGAAAAAGCAGGGGGGGGAATGAGAAACATGAAAAAGCCCCTTTTCCCAACGGAGGATCCTGAGCAGCCCAGTGCTGCTCAGCAGGTAATTCCTCCCCAGCCTCACCAGGCATGTTAAGACCTGGGAACTATTCATCTCTGTAATTGTATTTAAAAAAAAAAAAAAAATCAAGCTGGGAATGCAAGTTAGTGAGCACTAGTGAAATAATCCCCTGCCCCATGGGAACAGCTATGAGACTGGGGGTGGTGGGTGACCCCAAAACCCTCCCGAGCACGAGTGACAGCCCTGTTTTCTCTATTTTTTTTTTCTATTAATAAGCCAGTTTTCCCAGTGCAGGCATTTTCCTCCCGTCTCCGAGTTGTGCTTCAAACCCTGCACTATGC